AATCTATTGCTGTAGTTTATTATAACTTCCGTAATTCAGAATGATTTCATGTGTGCAAATTGTTTTAAAATGCCCAGTCCTTACAGGGCCAGCCACCAAATTACGTTAGCCAAGCTACCCAATAAATGAAAGCAGCAACGCAGACACTGCACTTACTGAACGGGAAGCTCAGTCCAGAGTTTTCACAGTTGTCTTTTCTCTCACTTTTCTCTATTTCGCAGGTATCAAACTGACATTGTCAGCTTTGTTGGATGGCAAGAATGTCAACGCAGGCGGTCACAAACTTGGACTAGGATTGGAATTTGAAGCATAAGGAGTGATTCTACAGTCGCTCATTTGAAAATACAGCATAGCTACCTTCGGAATATAGTGTACCTGTCAATGTTTTGTCTGGGATGCAAGTATTGCTAAGTATCAGTCCTGCTAGTCCTGGTTAAAGACAGCTAAGCTTTAAAAATGATGATGTTACAGAAATGGAGACAAAAGCATAAAAAAAAAATCCTAATTCCAGGCTTTTTTTTCACTGTTATTACCCATCGCATCTGTCAGCTGCCACGATAGGAAATAGGAAGAGGAAGGTATTGATTGCCGTTACTGATGTAGTGACTCCACGAGGCGTCTGTTAATGTGGCATACAAACGGAGGCTTTCAGGATCGCAGACCACTGTATTGTACTGTTAATTCTGTGAGCAAAATGTTCAAATGTTCCGACACTTAAGGTTTCAGCTCACGGTGGAATGTGCAAACTCGTCTGAAAAAAGGGATGATTTTTTTTTTTTTTAGATAGGCATTTCCTGAATGTTTTGTCTTTTTTGCTCATCTTACACCTACAGCCGTCTCCAGAATGCTTTAGGGTGTCCACCTCGTGTAAGTCCGTTGCGGAGGAGGTTTGATGTGACTCAGCCCACACTACCTGTCCTGTGCTGTGGTTCCTTTCCCTTGCACTAACCTGAAGGCTTGTAGGCCAGGGCCGTCATCAGGGAAGGGTCTTTGTAACTGCGATCACATAGTTGCATCACTAAATTTCCAATGGACTTTTGTTCTATTACCACTTTTTTTTAGCAACTAAATGGGTACGTTTTTAGAGAGTCTTCCATTTTGTGTGGAACTAGACCCCAAAATGCTGTACTTGACACTACTAAAAATGGATAAAAAAAACCAAACCCAACTTGAATAAAATATTGAAATACCACCTTTTACTTTCTTTTTATATTAATTGTGGAAACCATTTCATATTCATTCTTGGCTCCAGGAGCAGCTTGGCAACAGCTTAGTGCATATTTTGTACCACACAAACAAACAAAAAAAACTTAATAGATTGGAGTTCCAGACCGGGCCCTGTTCTTAGCACTCGCTGAGCTCTGGCAACTGCACGTACGCTTGTGTTCAGCTTGGGGAGAAAACAAGGTAATGCGACTTGTTTATCTTTCACTGCAGAATTAATTAAGATGAATTAGAAAACAAATAGGTGCGTGCAATGAACAGTTATCAGCTGGGTAACCAGTGGTTTTTTGTTAAAACTTATGTATTTTTCACATGTAAGCAACCGCTGCGGGCGGCGTGGAGATGGCAGGAGGCTGTGCCCGGCGAGGCAGCGGTGTTGCCACATGCCGTGGGACGGGCAGGCCCGCCTCGGCGTGTTGTGCAGCGCTGGCTGCCCTCCCTCTTGCCGGAGCCTGTTCCCGAGGATTTCCTGGCCTGCCATATCTCAAGGATTTACCCCAGCACTCCGGGGAGAAGCGGTCACAGAATCACAGAATGTTTGGGGTTGGAAGGGACCTCTGTGGGTCCTTGCTTGGCCTGCACCGGTGGCAACAAACCACGTGCAACCAGCTCACTGTAACGCCACAGATGCTCAAAATTAATTTTAAATAATTAAGTAAATGTAAATAATTTTGAATAGTGCTCCTGTATGCTGTGCGTGGCTCATCTTCTCCCTCCCTGTAAGCCTTTGGGCTCCTGGGTCTTGGGTTTTCTCATGCTTGAGGCATCTGCGTACTGGAATTCGTTCTCCCGTGATCAGCTTCAGGGCTCCTCTCGGCGCTGCATCGCCTCACTTGGGGTGAGGACAGGACAGCGTTTTTCTACAAATCTACCCGATTCTGCAAAAAGCATTCCGTCAGCGCCAGAGCACAAAGCCCAGTCATGCATGCAGACGCTGAGGAACCACTTCCCGGGGCGGTGGCTTGGGGGGGGTATCAAACCCCTACCATCAACCTCGGGCTGAAGGAAGGAGACGGCAAATCCCCGTTCCCTATCGGGACCGGTCGCGACACCGCGGACGCCGCCA